CTAAATGAATTTTTACACAGTTTTAACGTATGTTGATTCTCTAGGAATAAAACTACTGTGAAATCAAAAGAAGATTGTACTGTTTCACTTAAACCTTACCAAGAAGTGTTCACCATTTTGGATCACAGCTTGTGATTTTTGAAACCTCAATAAAAGACAGCATTGTGGCTGTGGCGTTCAGGCACATTCCATGTGAAAAGGCAAATATTTGACCTTTAGGTCTATAGCAGTCATGACCATTTACATACTGAAATGTGTATTTTTACAAATCATTTTCCTTTTATATCCTCTATTAAAGCATAATATTAGGGGTTTTTTTTTGTAATTTCAAGTTTTTATTTAAATTCTAGTTAGTTAACATATAGTGTAGTATTAGTTTCAGGAGTAGAATTTAGTGATTCATCACTTACATACAACACCCAGTGCTCATCACAAGTGCCCTTCTTTATACCCATCACCCATCCCCTTACAGTAACCCTCAGTTTCTTCTCTATCCTTAAGAGTTTGTTTTATGGTTTGCCTCTCTCTCTCTATCTGCAGTGTTCATCTATTTTATTTCTTAAATTCAACGAATGAGATCATATGGAATTTCACTTACCATAATACCCTCTAGCTCCATCCACACTGTTTCAAATGGCCAAGATTTCATTCTTTCAGTGGCTGAGTAATATTACGATCATCTATCTACCTATCTCACAACTTCCTTATCCATTCATCAGTTTTTAAAATGTGGGTTGTTTATATTACCTATTAACTTCTAAGTCACGATCTGTGAATTTCAGGACAGGAGAATAAAGCGGTCACCAGGAAGTAGTTACAAAAAGGCGGCCTTAGGTGTGACAGCCTGTGATAGATGCACAGGCCCGGGCCGGAAACTCCCAAATCCGGTTGCACCTGCAGCTTTACTAAAATACAGATCCCCAGCGCCACCCCCGGGGGTGAATCCAGCTCCCCTCTGGTGCTTCCCCAGTCCACCTCGAGGAATAATGGCCCTGCGGCCGGGACCCACAGGAGAAGGGCGCGGGGCACAGCAGTCCCGGTTCCTGAGACTCGGGTTGCAGGGGCGGGGCCGGAACACCAACAAGAGGGAGCAACGCTGCTCCTAGAGAGACTCGGCCGCGGCCTGGTGACGCACTTCCGACTGCGCGGTGGTGCCGCCGGTGGCGGAGGTGAGTGTGGGGCTGCGGCCGGCGGGGGCGGTGCCCTGGCCGGTAACTGTGGGTGCGGTGGGGATGCGCCTCCAGTTCCTGGAGGAGAGGGTAGGGCGGTGGTCCGCGGTCCGACTGCGCCCGTCCTAGATTCCCGTTTTGGACTTGGTGACCGAATTGGAAGGCGAAGCGTGGATTCCTGTCACAGCCACGAAGCCCCGCACCGTCTTCGGGGAAGATGCCACTGACCTTTCGGGAAGATGTGTCGGAGCGGCCAGTGGGTGGAATATTTGCAGGGGTGAAGTGGATTGTGATATCTCGAGTCTTTTGACATGTTGAAGTCGTACAGGGGCGCTTACCTATATGCATTTCAAATATGGACCGTGTGCCCCCTGACTTCAAACATAGGGTCGTGAATCAGGGCTCAGTGAGAGCACAGAAAAAGCAGAGCCCCTCCCAGTCACCCGGGAGTAGAAGCAGCCCGGCTTTTGGAGAGCACTGTCTTCTGGAGCTGGCAGTTCCAAAAGGTAACTTGGCCCTCGTCTCGGGCTGTTGGGATGACAGTGACTTGGGGATGATTTCTACATTGTAATCACTTATTTGCTCAATTCTAGAATACACATAAAATAGTTCCAGAATTGCTCATTCATACCGTCGTGAAAATTATACGAAAATTATACTATAATAAAATAGTAGTTAAAACAAGAAATATTTTTTAAAAAACCACAAACCTCTCTGGAATGTGGCTGATCGTGTATTCAGAGGATAATTTACGGCCTTACAGGTTTTAATTGCCAAATAGGAAAGAATGAAATAATAAATCCTGCATCCTCAAGAAGCATTTGGGCAGAGGTCTTTTTAACCTTATAGTACCTAGTTAAAATACTGCTTTCCAAAGTTATTTAGTTCTTTTCTTTCCCACCACTTCAGTGTGGTTATGTTATTCAATTATAGTATAGTTAAGCTCATTTGATGTTGTTTGTATTCCTTTTTGGGTTGTCACCCCCATCCCATCCTGGTTGGTTAATTTAATATATGTGTATTTATTTATTTGGATATGTGAAGCATGGTTATGAAAGTCAGAACAAAAAGGCAAACTCAGAAGCGTCACTACCCTCCTCATCTCTTCTACTCTATTTCCTTTCATTCTCTTTTCCATCCCAGGCTCCTTTCATTTCCTACCCATATTTGAGGCAACCATTCTCCTTAGTTTCTGATTTATCCTTCTATTTCTTTTTTTTTTAAAGAATTTATTTATTTATTTGACAGAGAGAGAGAGCGAGAGAGGGAACACAAGCAGGGGGAGTGGGAGAGGGAGAAGCAGGCTTCCCACTGAGCAGGGAGCCGGACGCGGGGCTCAATCCCAGGACCGCGGGATCATGACCTGAGCCGAAGGCAGACGCTTAACGACTGAGCCACCCAGGTGCCCCCTTTCTATTTCTTTCTTGTACAAATGACCAGATACACACATATTTTCTTATACTCCTATTCTTTTGTACACAAGAGGTAGCACACTGCCTTTTGCACTTTGCTTGTTTCATTTGACAGTATATTCTGGAAATCACTCCATATCATAGAGATAAGTATGTTTTTTAAATGTTATTCATGCATACTGAAGACTGCATCTAGCATGGCATTTAAGAAGCATAGTAGTAAGATGAGTACCCATGAACGCACCACCCCACTAAGGAGGAGAATATTTCCAGTACTGCTTCTCAACCCAGCTCCCAGCTTCCCGCCCCTCTAGAAGTAACAACTATCTTGAATTTTGCATTAATCATAGTCTTACCTATTTATAAAAATAATTTTATCTGATAAAATATGTCTGTAGACAATGTTTAATTTTATTTTTGAGCTTTATGCAAATGGCATTGTAGTGTCTGTAGTCATCTGGGACTTGTATGACTCAATATTATGTTCCTAAAGTCATCTGTGTAGTTGTGTGTAATTGTGAGCCATTCATTTTTGCTGCTGGATATTCCTTTTTAAAAATGATAGGACAATTTATTTATGTATTCTTAATGGATATGTGGGTTGTATCCAGTTTTCTAGTATTCAAACACTGATAATGAATAATTTTGTACATATTTTCTACATATGAGGGTTTCTCTAAGGCATAAATTTTGAAATGTAAGCATGAGTATTGAATTTTATCTCAAATGCCTTTGGCATCTGTTGGGGTGGAGAGTGTGTTTATCTTTCTTTGATCTATTCATGTGGAAAAGTATACAAATCTCTATTCTAATATTAAGCTTTACTTGTATTCGTGGGATGATCCCTTTTAGTCACGGTATGTCACTTTAATGAACTATTGGAGTCAATGCCTTTATATTGGGGATTTTTTTGTCAGTATTCCTAAAGGAGGCTGGCCTGTGGTTTTTGTATCATGTTGTGCTGGCATCATAAAAAGGACCAGGAAACTTATTTTGCTCTTCTCTCCTACAGTTTCAGTAGTGTTGGAATTACTCATTTCTCAAAGACTTGAAAAGATTTGTCCGTGATACATACAGGCTCAGTGTTTTGTGAGAGTTTGCTCTTTACTGGCTATCTTAGTTTAATTAGGTAAAAGTAATCATGGATTCCAGAGAAATAGCTACATAATAAAATTAGTAGAGTTGATTTACTAGATTCAAATAGAATGATATGTTCTTCTATCATAGAATAAGTTTCTCTTTGTAAGTATTCACACTTCAGCCAACAAAAGAAGCCCTCAAAATCTGTAAAGCAGAAGTGAATAGACCAGGTTATTTAAACACCAGCCAGTAAAGCCAGAAATTATGAACAGAGAAGAAATTAGCAACAAACTATCCTAAAGAATTCTGTGGTCAGAGACGAAACACTTGCTGACAGGCTATAAAATGTAATTAATATAACTAAAACATGAAATATTAAAAAAAAAAAAACCTCTGGCATGTGGCAAATAGTGTATTCAGAGGGAAAATTTATGGCCTCATAGATTTTAATTGCTAAATAGGAAAGAATGAAAATAAATGAATAAATCATGCAACCTCAGCAAGGTAGAAAAAACCTGGGTGGCTCAGTCGGTTAAGCGTCTGCCTTCAGCTTGGGTCATGGTCCCGGAGTCCTGGGATCGAGTCCTGAGTCAGGCTGGGAGCCTGATGTCAGTGGGAGCCTGCTTATCCCTCTGCTTGCTGGTCTCCCTGCTTGTGCTCTTTCTCTCTTTCTCATTCTTGCTCTCTCTCAAATAAATAAATGAAATCTTAAAAAAAAAAAAAAAAAAGTAGAAAAAAGCCTTTTGTAGTCTAGCCTCCCCCAAAAGCAGAACACAGGACAGAGGTTTGTGTGCAGGCAGTTTACTTGGGAATGTATTCCAAAGGCAGAGTGAAAGACAAGGGGAGTGAGACAGGAGGGAGAGCCAATACAAGGATGCATTGTCAGGCTGGCCTGTCCATAGGCAACTGGTGCTCAGTCTTGCAGGATCTTTGAGGAGCCTTGGAATCTCTTGTAGGAGACTGAAGGGGAAAATATTTGTCCATTGACCTCTGTCCCCTGTTAGTCATAGGTGGTCTCACAGGCATTGACTCCTCTCTGCCTTTCAGGACCTAGCAGGTTGTCCATAGGTATCTGCAGATGTCCCTCACAGGACACCAGAGAAGCCCCAGGGCAGGAATCAGCCATATGTGGTGTAGATCCTTGAGGATGCATTGGTAGGTTATACCTGCGCAAAGCTGGTCAAAGTCTCTGGCACTGGACTGAGACCAGAGGATTTGGAAGGGAACAGAAGGTGTACCTCTCACAGAGGTGGAGCTCTTCCAGAGCTAAAGAAACAAAGAAAGCAGAACTTAATGAACTAAAAGGAAATAGAAAAGAGTGGTGTTCTAAATAAATAGAAAAATTTGTTCTTTAAAAATAAAACAACATTCAAATAGACAAACCATTGTTCAACTTAACTTTATTAGTCTGCTCAGGCCACCATAACAGAATACCATAGACTGCATGGCTCAAACAACAGAAATTTATTTCTCACAGTTCTGGAGGTGAAAAGCCTAAGTTTAAGGTGCCAGACAATTTGGTTCTTGGCAAGGGCTGTCCTTGGGTTGCAGATGGCTGTCTTCTCACTGTGTCTGCATGTGGTGGAAAAAGAACTCTGGGGTCTCTTCCTCCTTTTTATAAGGGCACCAGCCTTATCAGAGTAGGGCCCCACATTTATGGCTTTGTTTAACCTTATTACCTCCTCACAGGTCCTATATCCAAATATAGTCATATTGGGTGATAGACTTCAACCTATGAATCTTGGGGGGACATGTTCCATCCGTAACATTAACAAAGGGGAAAGGATGTAGAAAGCACATATATTCAAAAGTGGGAAAGGCACAGTGGCTCCAGATATGGAGGAAATGGAAAGAATCGTGAACCTGTGTTTTCCACAACTCTGCACTCAAGTTGAAATCCTAGAAGACATGGATGATATTTTAGGGAAACACATATTTTCAAGACTGACTTTGGGAGCATTAAAAAACCTGAAAATAAGCAGTCCAAATGTTTTGAAAACAGTGAACAAGTCGTGCTGGGTCATGGGACCCTAGATGATATAATGATCCCCTCTCGCTGGGAGCTGAGGCTCTGGCTTCTTCACTATCAGAGGGCTGGAGAACATGAGGAGGCAGCCTGGGACCTCAAAGGTAAGCCTGGGCCATGCGGGAGGCTGGCTGCCCAAGATCTCCACAGAGATAGTGGGGCTCTTGAGGACACTCAGCTGTGTGAGGGAGCAGGCAGGATGTAGGGGAAAAGCTGTCTCCTCCAGCTCCCAGGGGCCTGACTCAGGTCTCTGTGCTGGGGCCACAGCCCTGCCAGCCTGGCTTCTCCTGCAGTGTAATCGAGGGTGATGCTTGTTTAGAGAAAAACAAGCAAGTCCAAGATCTTGGTAATGTTCTCTTTCTTAAGCTGAATTGTTGCTATGTGGGTCTTTGTTTTATTATGCTTTAGGCCCTGAGTACATTTTATGTCTGCTCTTGTGTATGTGACATGTGTCAGAATTGTGAAATCCTAGGGTTCCTGGCAATGAGCATCAGTGCCATGGCTGGGAGGGGTCCTGGGCACTGAGCCAGTGAACGGATCGCCCCCTTCTTCCTGTGGCAACTCCCGCGGGCACTCCTATCTGGACACCGGCTGCCTGCGCCTCACATCTGCGACGGGCTGTGTTGTTCCTCCTGGCACGGGACTCGCCTCACACTTGTCTCTCTCTGTTTTTCCTCAGCTCCAGCCCTTCTCTGAGAGGGGGAGCAGGTGATGGCAGCCATGCTCCTGACAGCCTGGCCCCAGGTGAGCTGTGGCTCCTTCAGCTCTTCCTCTGAACAGTTTCACATTGAAGAAAACTGAGAAGGGAAGCTGGTGAGCTTTGTGGTGGAAGCTGGAGGGGCCCTCCTTGCTTCTGCCTGGATCTTGTGGGAAGAATGGTGATGTGAAGGGATGTAAGCAACCAGAGAGCGTCCCTGAAGGCAGGAGTGAAGTGGTCTGCACACCGAGGTTCTTTGCTCCTCGGGTGAATAGGGGACATGGAAGCTGCTCATGGAGGATGCTCCATGCATGGATGTGAATGGAGGGGGATAGCAGAGCATTAGGATGCCCAGGGACTGGGCTGTAGGTGAAGAGGAGTAGTAGGACCAGATCATCACAAAGGGTGACTGTGCCTCTAATTTGGTGGGGATGGCGAGATGAGAGGAGTGGGGTCTGGAGAAGGAAAAAGGAAGTCCTATGGGACAGGATGTCTCATTGTGTCCTGGAGAGGCTTTCAGGGCTTGGGTGCAGGGGCTCCAACTTTAGGTCTCTGATAAGAGCTCTGGACCCTCCCCCGCTCAGGAAAATAAGCATGCAAACCAAATTCTCCATACAATTTCAGGGACTTCACGGACCCCTAAAGCGCATCCATGGACCTCCATGGACTACAGGTTGGGAATAATCATAGTCACAGTAACTCCAGTAACATTGTTTGAGGCTTGCTGCGCTGCAGGCACCATACTAAGCCCTTGCATGGATCGCTCAGTCCTGACACCTGCCCTCTGAGATAGGTGCTGTGTTGTGCTCATTCTGTCACAAAAGACATGAAGGCAAAGGGGAGTAGAGTGCCTTGCCCAAGGTCATACAGCTGGTGTTTGATTCTTAACTGCTCATCCCTGTGACATGTGTGCAACCTGTGAAGTTAATGTGGTCAGAGTTGTGATGGCTTTCAAGGGAATAATTTTTAGGGGTGACTCAAAAAGAAGCTGACCACTTCAGAAAATTCCATTGGTCCAGGTGTGGTGTGGGCTTCATCAAGGAAAGTAGTTGTTAAAGAATCCAATTCAAGTAATGCTTAACATAAAGATCTTTAGGATGTTGAGAGTCAAAGGACTGGGGGTAGGGTAAGGGAGAGGGAAGAGTCAGGAACAATCCCCAGGTTTCTGGCTGAGATTTCCTGCACAGATGTTGGGGGATGTTTGAATTCAGCAGGTGGCGCCAACGTACTAGGGTAAAGGGTGGTGGTGGCGGCAGTGAAGGCATTTAATATTGTTCAGAGAAGTTCCAAGGTCACAGAGGAGTGACTTGCAGACTCACCCAGAGGTTGGACTAGAATTGCTGATGGGTGGAGGTCAGTGGAAGGAAGCAAGACAGATCCTGACAGAGAGGAATTGAGGGCATACCCCTGCCAGTGCATCCCCAAGGTTGTTACAAAAGACTGAGGGGGGCAGAGAGAGAGAGAGAGCGACCAGAGGCTGCAGCTGCCCAAAGGGAGCCATCAGCCCTGATGCAGAGAAACAGTGAGTTCTTGGGTAAAGTTGGAAAGGACGAGAGGCATGAATGGGAGAGGGTAACAGAAAATGTTGGATTTTCAGTAAGACACCTCTGGAGGCAGAATGGGCTGCTGCCCCCACCATAGCCAGTCAGGGCAGTGCTGAGCTGCTGGAGGTACTTGTAGCAGGGGCAGTGACCGGAGTCAGGCAACAGACGGGGGCTGGACCAGATGGAGGCCATAGCTGTTATCCGGGGGTGGCTGGAGGTTTACAGGTGAGGGGAGCAGGATGGAGAAGCCAAGATCTCAAGTGGGAATGCTGGTGGGTTGGTCCTGAGCTGCATCTGCCACTGAGGACAGGGCCTAACTGAAAGAATGGAGTTGCTTTGGGAGAACTTGATATGGGAATTTTTTTTCTGTCATCCCAACTTGGGGTATCTTTTATAAACATAAAATATGGCATGAGGTTCCCTGCCATGAGAGATGTCAGATATTCTTCATTGTTTACTTTCCAGGTGCTATTTCTCAAACCTTTCCCCTTGTTATTAATTCTGTGCTCTTCAGAAGCTCCCTCCCCAAACCCTTATACTGCCCTCTGCCCCTCACTTAGGGCCTGAGCCATGGAATTGGCCCTAGGGCAGCAGGAACCTGTTGTTTCAGAAGTCGGTGACCTTCGAGGACGTGGCTGTGTACTTCACCCAGACGGAATGGGATGGCCTGTCCCCTGCACAGAGGGCCCTGTACAGGGATGTGATGCTGGAGAATTATGGGAATGTGGCCTCCTTGGGTAAGGCCTCTCTCCCCCTGGGACCCAGACTCTGCCAGTTGGGGTTTCCTGGCTTATTGCCCCCTAACAGGTTGCAGGTGGGGTCTCTGGTAATCCTTTACTGAGTGGGAACCCCAGGGGCTGAGATTCCTAATCCCCCTTGAGTCAGGGGTTGCTGGGAAGGGTGAACCTCAAGCCCTTTTTGGGCCAGTACAGGACTTGGCTGGGACTGGTGTGCACTCTTTATCCTCCCTCTAGAAGTTGTGGTTTAGACACTGTGGAAAAAAGAAACTTACTGTTTCACACAGCATTATTTTCAGGTTCACCCTCACCCGACCTGCATATCTTGAGGTCTTCTGGGCCCAAGTCTGGGCCATTCCCAACTCCTCCCACACCTTCTCAGGACCCCTCCTCCCCCCACACACATATACCTTCCAAGCTCCCCATCTTTCCAATTGCCCCCATCCCCGACTTTCCCATAGTCATTAGGCATGGGATCCCCTAGTGCTCTTATTTTGCCTTCCCATTGCCAAGACAATGTGAGGAGATGCTTAAGAACTCATCTGTGGGAGATTATTCACTTGTTTCTCCTATTTCTTTTCCCCTAAACAGGATTTTCTCTTCTCAAACCTGCTGTGATCTCACAACTAGAGGGAGCAGGTGAGCTGGGGGGCCCATCTCCACTGGTGGATGGAACAGAAACAGGCCCCCAGGGCCTCTGGACTGGTAAGGGACACAGGTTGCCTATTATGGGGGAAAGTTTAACTCTTTAAGAAGAAGGTCAACTTAAGCAACATATAAGCATGCCACATTTATGAGCCAGCCGTACAGAGTAAAAATTAAATGCTGATGATTTATAGAGATAGGTACAGTTGAGACCTGACTATTTTTGCAGTTTGCTGTTTCTGATTCCAAGAACAGATCTTTTTTCATTCTAAATCTTTCCAGGCCTAATTTTGGAATTCTGCCTTTCTCAGATGAAATTAATGGATGGTGTTTTTGGGTCCTTGCTACTTCCTAAGCATTGTGCACTTAATGTGATGGATAGAGAATTAACAGTCTTTTTATACAGAAAGGCAGAATAACCTGGCAGTTAAAAGTACAGTCTTTGAAGTAGACTTGACTGAGGTCCAATCCCAACTGCTATTCCTAGTTATATGACTTCCTAGTTGTGATTTTAAGCAGGTCAGTTATTTGAGTTCTCTAAGATTCAGTGTTTTTATCCCTGAAAATGGAATAATATACCTAACATATAGTGTGTGCTCAATGAAGTATTAGTTTTTATTTATTTATTTATTTATTTATTTATTTATTTATTTATTGGAGGAGACAGCTGTATATAGTAAGCTGTGGGAAATAAGGTGGAAGGGAGAAAGTGCTCTTTATTCAGTGCTTCTCAAATGATGTGCAAGTGAATCACCTGGGTGTCTTGCAAATATGCATGTTGTCATTTAGTAAGTGTGGCGTAGGGCCAAGATTCTGCATTTCTATTCTCAGGTTCTGCCAGTGTTTCTGGTTCCTAGACCATACTTGAAGTAGCAAGCTTCTCGTTGGCTTAAGCAGAGTAGTTGCCAGATGATTTCCCATTTCTTGTGATTTCCCATTTACTTACTGCATTTGTGGTGCATAGATTCTCTTGTATCCTTTCAATGAATCCTCCTTTTTAAAAAGATAGTTTCAGGGCACCTGGGTGGCTCAGTTGGTTAAGTGGCTGCCTTCGGCTCAGGTCATGATCTCAGCGGGGAGCCTGCTTCTCGCTCTCCCTCTGCCTGCCGCTCCCCCTGCTTGTGCTCTCTCGCTGTCTCTCTGTCAAATAAATAAATAAATAAATAAATAAAATTAAAAAAAAATTTTTTTAAAGAATAAAAAGATAGATTCAGTGGATTTTTGTTCATGTGGTCATTCAGCCAGATGAAGGGGGGAAAAATGATGTTGTGGAGCTCCTCAGAGGAGTCTGGATTTCATTCCATAGTCAGCAGACAGTACTGAAGTCTTTGAAGTTTTCAAATAACCATCATGATCTAAACTGAGAATGGAAACATTAATTAGTGTGTGTAGGTTAATTGGAGCAGGAAATCAAATGGCTTTTAAGCAGACAGAAGGGGAAGGTAGGTACAGGGCACAAGGCCCACGTCAGCAGAGTTGACTCTTTTAAAAAAACTTTCAGAAGGCCCATCCGGTGACTTCTGTTTAAATCTCATTTGCTGGAACTGTCTTATGACCCCCCCCCCACTGCAAGAGAGTGTGGAAAATACAGTTTTTAGCTGTAGTTTCTATTGCTACCTCAAAAAAATTGGAGAACGTGTTAGTAAGGAAAAAAGGGAGAATGGATATTGGTTAAGTAACCAGTAGCATCTGCCACACCATAGGATTTGGTAAATAGAAGGTCACTAGTATAGAAAATTGGCAAAGATTATAAGTGTTTGATCCACATGAGAAGTACAAATTTTAATCAATGTGAAAAAGCTTCACCCTCAGTAGAAACCAATGAGATACAAATTAAAACAGAGATGCTCCACCTAACACACTTGACATAGGTAGGCTGGGCCCAAGGACCCAGAATGGGTCCTGCAGGACAAGCCAAGAGGGTCCTTGGCTTTGAGTAGGGTAGAAACCAAATGCGAGCCAGGAGGAAGTGAGAGCAGAGTTTATTGAATAGCATAAGTGATAGAGTATAGCAGATGGAGTGTTTGGGAGATTCAGAAAGGAAAAGAGAGTGAGTCTCTCCTTTGCTTGGGGTCTAGGGTTTTTATTGAGGATTGGGATCTGGTGTACATGTCCTCTTCAGACACCCAGGAACTGGTCAGAACAAAGACAAGTGTCCAGGTGTCCTCCATAAAGCACGTATTGCCTGGAGCCAGGGGGTTTTGGCATCAAGAGGTCTAGAGTCAGTGGTCTAGAAAACGTATATGACGGCCCTGCTTGGTCATTCCTTAGGTGTTATCACCCGTGCTGGAAGACCCCCAAAAGTCATTAACTCCTTGACCCTTATAAGAAGGACATACATCATTTGTACTGTAAGGTGTGTACAAGGTGGGGTGGGGTACAGGTCCTGGCAAGAATAGAAGCAGGAAAATAAGCAAAAAGCAGTTTTTCATGGAGTTCCTTCAGTTTCCCTGGCTCATACAGAGAACAATTATATTGATGGAGAGACTACACCAAACTGGAATAGACTTTTGGGGATGAATGTGAATCAGTAGTCTTTCCAGAAAGTACTTCAGCAATACATATCAAGAGCCTTTTAAAAGTTTGTCCTTGATAGTCTGGATATTCCCTCCTAGAGTATCCTAATAAACTAATCAGAGATACAGACAAAGATGTGCATGCACAAAAGTTCATCATAATTTTATATAATAAAATGTTGGAAATAACCCAGACATTCAGTATAGAGAGAATTGGTTAATTTAAGATACCTCTGCAGGATGGAATGCTATTTAGCAATTTTAAAAATATTTTTACAGAATAAAGATAATGGAAAATTGTCATTATTAGTGTTAAGGAAGAAAAATATTTTCAATTTTGAATAAAAACATTTTTAGAAAAATGATTGGAAGGAAAATCTTTGGGGGAGGAGATACATCAGAAGATTAGATGTAGTTGTTAGATGGTTGTATTTCACGTAAATTGAATTTTCTTTTTTGTACTTTTCTGATATTAGGGATGACTACTATTTTTATAATTGGGAAAAGACCAACAGTTTTGAAAATGCTTGCTAGGGAAATCCAGGTCACTTGGGTCTCTTGAGGGTGATTAGAATGAAATACTGGGGCAGGGGCTTATTACCTGTGGTTGAGGAGAGATGAGAGATGAAAAATAGAGGCAGCATTTTGAGATCAGTTTTGAGAAATTTGGGAACAAAAGATCCTTAGCTCTATTGGGACTGTAGGGATTCCAAAAAGAATGTTAGGGACAACGGCTCCTGGGTGGCTCAGTCGCCTGGCTCAGGTCATGATCTCGGGGTGGGGTTGAGCCCCACGTCAGGCTCCCTGCTCAGCGGGAAGCCTGCTCCTCCCTCTCCCTCTGCCTCTCGCCCTGCTTATGTGCTTTCTCTCTCTGTCAAATGAATGGATAAAATCTAAAAAAAAAAAAAAAAAGAACATTAGGGACTAACCAATTCCAGGATTGAGGGAAGAGGAAGAAGAAAAGGTAAGGAGAAGAAGATGGCTTCTCTAAGCAGAAAAAAGGTGAAGGAGGAATTTTGGAAAGCCATGAGTTTAAGTTCAAAGAAAAGAAAAAAAGTTCTTTCCCTTTCACCTCCTGGTGCTGTAAACTCTTGCCATTCTGTGTTGCTACATGTTGGATCCTGTGCCTTTTCGTTCTTAAGCAGTTTCCATTTTTATCAACAAGGGACTTAAGGACACAGGGATAGCTGAGAAAAAACTGCAGAGTAAAGTGTGGTGTGATGGAAAGAATGCTCATCCGGTGGATAAAACCTAGGATTTTGTTCCATTGCTGTCACATTTAACCTTTATGTTACTGGTTATTTGCATAGGGGTTGGTAATCTTTTTAAATCGTTCCTGCTCAAAACTGTACAGCAAGTGTATAAAGCATACTGGAGAACAAAATCTCCCAAAATTCCTGTACCAATTTGCTCAGTTTCTTGTGTATTCTTCCAGGAGTTTTCTAGGCACGCACATACAAATATATAGGTATATATTGGCCCATTTTATTTTTCCTTTATACAAATGGAACCTACCGTACATCCATTTCTCAGCTTTTTTTTTCCATTTAACAGTGTATCTTGGACATATTTTCACATCAACATATATGGATTTGTTTTTTGTTTGTTTGTTT